AACCCAGGTTGGCTGCGTGCAAGGCAAATGCCCTACCCGCTGTGCTATTGCTCCAGCCACTCCAATGATTCTTATGTTATTCCTCTTGTCTTCATCCCAATTTTCTCTTGACATCTGTTGGTTTATTGTGAGGTTCTTTTCCATTTTCTGGTGTTGTCTGGAGATTCTCTGCACCTCATCTTGGAGCTCACTGATTCTGTCCTCAGCAGCTGTTATTCTGCTGCTGAGGCCTTTCACTAAGTTTTTCATTTCACCTGCCAAGTTTTTTTTTTTTTTTGGCCTGTCCTTTCTGCCTGTATTTTCATTCGAACTTTCCTCATTTCCGCTTTCAAATCCTCTGGTATTTTATTAGCAGCGTGTTCCACTGCTTCTTTGAGCTTCTTATGCATCCTTAACAGCTCCATTCTAAATTCCTTAACTGAGAGGTTATACAGTTCATTACCACTGTTTGATTCATCTGGGCTAGCAAATTCACTCACTAGACCTGATGAGTTTCTGTGTTGTTTCACCATTGTGAACTTTGTGTTTTGTAGTTGTTTCCAGTGTGTTGTTGAATGTTTAGGCACCTGCAGCCGGGCTGTCATTGTGTGTTACTGTGATTATGGACAGGTGAAGAAATTTGAGGTTTGGGTTTCACTGGTACCTCTAATAAAGGATACAGATGAAGTAACTTCTTTGCGTGGACACTAGTGCATCCACGCAATTTTGGAGTTAGAGATTTTAAAGGGATGGCATGAGGCCTGGTTCCGGGGGTATGAGGGGCTGGAATTCAGGCTGGGGAATGGGAGAAAGTTTCCACTGTAGTCACACACCTGAGTTTGAGAAGTTAGATTGGCTTGTTGGGGGCGATGCCTGGCCAGGAAATCACTTCCCAGGCAGGGTATTGGGGTCCAGGATCCCCTTTGTGGGGGGTGGGGGGATGGAGGGATGGATATCAGGCTCTGTATATATATATATATATATATATATATATATATATATATATATTTTTTTTTTTTTTTATAAAACTGCATTTCTTCCCAACTAACAATATACAGAGATACCCCCCCCCCCCCCGGTTTGTTTTGGTTTGGGGGCCACACCTTGCAGTGCTCAGGGTTTATTCCTGACTCAGCTTAGGAATCACTTTTGGAGAGAATTGGGGGACCATATGGAGTGGAGGGGATTGAACCTGGGTCAGGTGTGTGCAAGGCAGTGCTTGGTGAATTTCTCTTGGGCCCAGATGTGTTTATCTTACACTCAGGAAACCTACTTTCAAGTTATTGGGTTTTAGTAATATTTCAATTTGGGAAGTTCTGGGCATGTTCCATATAGAGGAGTAACAAGGATATTATTACCCCTCTGATATAACTCTCTGCCACCCAAAACAGAATGCAGCCATTCAAGCTACGAAACTCATGAGAAATGTAAGCGGAAACACTTGTAGAAACAGAATGAGTTAATTCTGAATAATATTTCTATGTCTCCTAAAAGAAAGCAAAACACACATTTGTCCTCAGCTTAGTACACACCATGGTAGAGTGTGTTTTTCCTGGAATTGTAAAGGTGTGTTAGCTCTGGCTTATTTCACTGTTAGCAAAAAACAGCTGCTACTGGAATTAGTAACCAGAAATGAAATTATTAACCCCCGTCATCCTACTGAATTGCTTGCTGTGCTTTTCAAAACAAGAATACTATGAATTACTTGGGAAATAAGACTGATGCAAGTAGGCTGTGGTTTAGTGTGAAAAGAGGTAAAATCAATAGATAACTAAATGATGAAAAGCGGTAAGCTGGGGAGAGGGCTAAAGATCGGCGTGTAGGCTTTGCCGAGCAGGATCAGGATTCTATTCCAGCACCACCCATCCCCCCGCCAGGAACGGCCCTGCCTGCTCCCAGCATGCTATTTGTCTTACTCAGAGAAACATTTCAAGGACAGGACAAACGGTATACAATAAGCATAGGATTTATTAAAATACTTTTGTATTGGCGTGTGTGTTGGGGGACTGGGCCCATACCTGGCAGTGCTCAGGGGACCATATGTGATGCCAGGGTTGGTTGTGGGCAAGGTAAGCACCTTAAACCCTGTATTACCTCTCTCTTTTCAAAACAGAACTCCAACCAATGGTGCTGAGGGAGCACTTGAAAATTGAACTCAGAACCTTGCATAAGCCAGACATGTGCTCGATTTACCATCTGACTATCTCCCCATCCCAATGAAGATTCTAAAAGCAAATTATCTTCATTTGACACAGCACAACAGAGACTTCAAAAGCGTAAGTATCTCATACTACTGCTTTTTTCAGGGCTTTGGATCCCAGGTCCAACTGGACCCAAAGTTTGCCTTTTTATAGTTCATGGTGCTGCTTCCAATCTCTTAGGGGGAAGGGAAAATTTTCTTTTCCAGCAGTGACAGTGAGGACAAATATGTGAAATGGGGTAGAGAGGAGTCCACTATGCCTGAGAATCCCATGAAAGCCATCGGCAGAAACAGGTGATTAGCTACACAACAAGGAAAGTAGCATGCCCGACGGACACAGACTTTTGTTGGAGCTGGTTGTTCTCTTTCACTCTGGGTGTAAAACAGTCCTTGGGTGTACTTGCAGGTCAAAAGAGCCAGAGGTGTCAAATGCCCACTGAAATGCCCTAAAGGTACCAGAGATGCTGTGAATCTTTAGTAGACAGAAACTAAATTCCTACCCAAACCTGGATTAAGGAAGTAACTCTGAGGAGCAAGGAAATCATTTATCAAAGAATTTCAATAAACTGTACTTTAAATGCATGGGTGCATCAGGGAAGAGGTAATCGTAGTAACAGTAGTAGTGACAATCCTAGCTGAAGTTCACTGAGCATTACTTTCTGACCCACATACTATTAGAAGTACTAACAATCAACAAATGTGTACCATGTTCACACCCACCTATGCATTAGGCCTGATTTAACATTCCCAGTTACTTAAATGTGTAAGGTCTCCTAGGGATTCAAAGCGACTTGGACTCTAAACTAGGCACCCTGTTTCCCGAATCCTGCTGGCAGTAATCTCACTAGCTTACCAAGTCATAAGAGCAAGTATTCAAATGATGGCAGCAATAATCTTTAAGCATCAATCAGCTGCATCTCTGTCTCTAAAAAGCTTTAAGCTCATTATCTCATTTAATTATGACAACATTCAAAGACAGGTACTCATTATTCCATTACAGAGATAGTAGTAAAGTATCTTAACAAAAGACACAATAAGCAGATGAATGGGCATTTAATTGCAGGTTTCCCTATGTTATGCTTTTAAGTCATTCGCATTAAAAAAGAAGAGTAGTGAACTGTTAGCTTAGTGAAGTTTCACTGAAAAAGTTCCAGTTGAACTGAACTGGATTCTCAAACTTTCAGAGTGAAAGTCTAATAAGCCTTTTAGTGGACTTCGACATAATACTGAAAACTTTTTTTTTCTTCTTTTTGGGTCACACCCGACCAAGCACGATGCACAGGGGTTACTCTTGGCACATGCACTTAGGAATTAATCCTGGAGGTATTCGGGGGACCATCTGGGATGATGGAAATCAAACCCTGGTAGCCCAGGTGCAAGGCAAAGGCCCTGCCCACTGTACTATTGCTCCAGCCCTGCCTGAAAAAGTTTTAAAGTCAGTCAACTGAATAAAAGGTGACCATGAAGTTATAGATTGCAACATGAGGGAAGCTGCAGTTGATACTATTATCTGGGTCCAGGAAAAGAACTCCTGGATGTGCCAGAACCTGAGTTTGAACCCCAACACCATGTGCCTCTCGCTCAAGCACTGATATGGGGCTCTGGTGGTCCACAGTACCACAAAGCCTGAGGTCCCTGCCCACTTGACCACGTATTGCCAGGTATGGGCCTTTACTGCAGCACTTGGGAGACAGCTTGGGAGACAGCGCCCCCAAGAGTACCACAATAAAGGCAAATACTTACAGAATGTGATCTCCACCAGAGCCACATTGACTATAAATAAAATATATATGACTTTGAACAGGTATGTGAAAAGCAATGAATTTATGGGCAAAATCTTCTAGAAATGGGCTGCAAATCTTAATATACAGAAATATATTTCTTCCTAAAATAGCATATTGGGGGTGACCAATGGGCTCTGAAATCTTGGAACTGTGTCCAAGCCAACAGGCCAGATCTCATTACTCAAACCTGACTCTATCCTGACTCACTTTGAAAAGAACAAACTACAAAAGTGCCATCAACTAGGGCAATTTATTTTTTAAAATTTATTATTATTATTATTACTTTGCTTTTTGGGTCACACCCAGCGATGATCAGAGGTGACTCCTGGCTCTGCACTCAGGAATTACTCCCGCTCTTCTGGGGTCCTGACAGTCACGCCCATAAACTGCCTCTGGGCACCATTTAACTACATTAATGGGTGATCCAGACTCACAAATGAATCTCAGAGGAGAGCAGCTTGCTGCAGAAATATCTCTGGAACCCAATTACTTAAACTTTTACAATTCCAGGAGCACAAAGCCATGACATCTCATACTATTCATAACAAGCAATACAAAATAAATTATTTTGCGTCTGCCTATGGGAAGGCTTGAGTGGTAGTGGGAAAACTAGAAATAATGGTGGTGGGAAGGTGTAATGGTGGGGGGATTGGTGCTGAAATGCTGAATGTAATCAATTATTGTGAACAAATTTTATGAAAATAAAATTAAAAAATTAAAAAGAATAACCTCCTTGTCTTCCTCATTATTCAAAGAACTTGAGATTTTTGGCAACCAGCACCAATAATATTTCCCAAAGGTATTATAAAATAAAAGAATATCTGATTGGGTTTGAAGGAGCAAAAACATTAAAAGTTCTGGTAGGTCAACATAACAACATAACAACGTAACAACTGACTGATAAGCAGTATCTTTTGGGAAAAAAAAATCTATTCCCAGTCCAACTCTGATCATGAAACCTATGAGGAAAAAATTCAGTGCTGCATCAAGATTTTCCTTTCTAGTTTATGTGGCGAGCATATTAATGAAACACTTACTGTGGCATGTGAGATGGTAAGAATCCCATTCTTTACTGCACACTTCCTTCTTTGCCACACTTTTCGGAGCCTAAAGAGACAAACGTATGCTGTTATAGTATTTAGTTCACATGCAATTATACAATCTACAGCAATGACAATTATGAAAAACAAAACCTCAAACCAAAATAAACAAAAACCAAAAGGCACAGATTAGAAAATTTAATTGTTTTTAATTATCTCCCATAGAAGCAAATTCAGGTGATTTCAAGAATGTCTGTTACATCACTGATTTTGATATGAAATGAAAATAATAGAAGTCTAATAGAAAACTTAATCAACTTTTGCTACATTCAAATTACTGAAGATTGTAAAATTTAAAAGCATAAACACACAGACTATAATATATATACATATATGTATTTTTTCTTTTAGGGTCACACCTGGCGATGCACAGGAGTTACTCCTGGTTCATGTACTCAGGAATTACTTCTGTTGGTGCTCGGGGGACCATATGGGATGCTGGGAATCGAACCTGGGTTGGCCACGTGAAAGGAAAATGCCCTACCTGCTGTATTATTGCTCCAGCCCCAATATAGGATATTTTTAAACCATATTGCTTATGCGGGTAAAAAAAGCAAGCTGTCTGAAGACTTTTCAGAAGTGACAGAGTAACATTAAAGATATTTTTAGAACTGGAGATATAATACAGCAAGTAAGGTAATTATCTTGCATGGGCCCATCTGGGTTCAATACCCAGTATCCACATATGGTTCCGAGCACCGCCAGGAGTGACACACTGAGCACAGAGCCAGGAGTAAGCCCCAAGCACTCCTAGGTGTGCCCTGTCCCTCCACCTCCACCCCCCCCCCCCCCAAAAAAAAAATTCTGGGTCTGGAATGTGCATATGCTTTGCTTGTGGGTTTGATCTGGCACTGCAGAGCAATCTGAGCGTGGCCAGGAGTCGACACTTTCCCAAACACCTGTATCAACCAAACCTAAGTTACATTTTCCCCCAAATATAGAAAAGAGCACTCTAAACTTTCTGCAGATATATGCAAATAGGAAAGGATCTGGAAAAAGGTACACCACACTGACAATTCCTCTCTGGGAAGGAGACCCAGACCTGTATTAGGGGTAACAATACAGGGATTTTTTAACCCCACCTGTGCATTTGTTTTATTTTGTTTTGGGGGCACACCCTGTGGTATTCAGGGCTTACTCCTGGTTCTATGCTAAGGGATTATTCCTGGCAGTGCTTGGTGGAACATATGTGATACTAGGGATTGAACTGAGGTCAACCACATGCTAGGCAAGTGTCTCAACAATTCTGGATTACTTCTCTGGTCCCTCATTTGCAGATCTGTTACAAGGTTGTAGTAAGATATTGCTTCTAAAGCTAAAATTAGACTTGAAAAAGCATAAGGAAAGGCACTCAAGCTGTGGACGAGGCAGAAAAGAGAAGCAGCGTGGAGCTGCTCAGAGTTCAGGGATAGAGCATCAGCACTTTGGGTAACTTATCCACTCTCTTTTGACTCTGAGTTTCCTCAAGGAACTCATAATTCAGAGTTCCTGCAAACAAACTACTATCTGTGACTCACCAGAGGAAAAAGCCCCAAGAATAAGTGAAAAACACTTGGAAATTTTGATTTGGTGATGCTAATGGATACAAAAACCCCAAATAGAGTTAATGTGAACGTGAATTTGTTTTGGTGGGGTGGGGGAGGGAGGCTCCAGGTACAGGCAAGATTTCTGCCATCTGAACAGATGTGGCAGATTTCCCATGTGTAGGCAGAACCACGGCACTCGCTGGGGCCACTTCTATCAGTTCTATGAAGTTACCAGAAAGATGCAGAGGCCAGTGATTGTCTGGGCTAGAGAAGACAATCTATAGCCCAGTTCTGGCCCTCAGTTGCCATGGAAACAAACATCAGAGGAAGCCACTATAGCTTTCCCTAAAAACTTAAAAATCATATTGTTTTGTTTTCCTTAGGTTAGTCCTGTAGGAAACCAGCCACAAAAGGAATCTAAAAACAATTCTCAACATAGATTCTGTCTTCTTATTAGAAGTATAGCTTTTTTAAAAGTATGCTCTACATGGAAGGAAATAAAAAATTTACTACATTCTCAAAAGTAAACAGAGTGTAGTACTGTCACTGTCTTCCCGTTGTTCATCGATTTGCTCGAGTGGGTACCAGTAACATCTCCATCGTGCGACTTGTTGTTACTGTTTCTGGCATATCGACTACACCACGGGGACCTTGCCAGGCTTTGCCATGTGGGCGGGATACTCTCAGTAGCTTGCCAGACTCTCCGAGAGGGGTGGAGGAATTGAATCCAGGTCAGCCGTGTGCAAGGCAAATGCCCTACCCACTATGCTATCTCTCTGGTCCAAACAGAGTGTACTATACCCAAAATGTCAGGTGCTCAGGATGTAATGTATCTCTATTAATTAAGAAACTTCTTGAATTATAGCTAACACCTCCCTGCCTCTGCCCCAATCTTTCCAGGGGCAGGGGAGGAGGCTGGTAACTGCCCAGAGCTGTTCCATTACAGGCGTCAGAGAGACCTTTCACAGCATGTGAGACTATGGAGTTCTCTGCATGAAGACTATCCTCTAACTCCCTGTCACTCAGCGGATTCCAAAGCCTCCAGGGTTAGGTGCCCTGTCGCTGTGCTCTACTTCTAAGGCACCTCCCGGACTCCCTCTTGATCTTCCTGATTCACAGAGCTCTCTCCCCACTCTAGCCACGCTGACACAACAACTCTGTGTGATGGCAACAGCAAACATGTTCCTGGCCGTGCCCTCGTTCCTTCCCTGCCATCAGAAATCTTTGCTCAAAAGTCACCTCACGGGGTCAGAGACGGTATTTGCATGCAGCTGAAGCAGCTACAACCCTGGTTCAAATCCTCGGCACCACTTAAAGGCCCCAGCACAGTGAGGGCTCTGTATCGCATGTCTGTTTCTATCTCTGAACACAACATCAGTTCCCAGTGATCATCCACATGCTACCGCCTTTCTTGTCTACCTCCCCCTCTTTGAAAGCAAGCTCTAAAAAGGTAAGAAATTTCTTTTGCTCAATGCTATATTCCCAGAGCCTACAACAGTGCTTGAATTATAGTGGGATTCTTAAAAGGTATATGCTGAATAAATAAGAATGATGAATGGAACTGACAATGATGCCAGAAATTTATAGAATTTGCTGAAATAGAAACAAATGAAACACCAACTGTGTATGTTCTATATGAAGTCAAATCCACAGCAATCAGAAGATATACAACTTTCTTTGGGAAGGGGGAAGAGGGAGAGAGAGAATGACAATTCACTAAAGTAAATAACTAAGAGTTTACTTATGCGAGGGCAGGAGAGAGTGCAGTGGGTAGTGTTGCATGTGGCCAAAGTGGGATTGATCCCTCGCACCCGATACAGTCTCCTGGGCACTGCCAGAGTAATTCCTGAGTGCCAAGAGTAACTCCTGGGTATTGTTGGGTGTGGCCCGAAAACAAAACAAAACAAAAAACGAGTTTGCTTCTATGCTTATTGCAAAGCAGAATCAGTTGTTAACAACAATGTGGAAGAACCAGGGGAGAAATGATACAAGATGAAGTGGAAAAGAGGGCAAAGGTGAGATCCTACATGCAAGGGGAAGTCACGGGAGCATTTTAATCATGCGTAAGGCCTACCATCAGGGTTTTAGAAAAGCTATTGTGAGCACTGTATAAGATGCACTGCAGAAGGGAACAGCTGAGTGTTAGAGAGACCTGACAAAATAAAAAATAAGAGGTGATGGCAGCTTATCTTAGAGTCAGGTAGAGCAAAGATGGCAAGAACTGTATCGTTTTCTTTCTTTCTTTCATTCTTTCAAGAGATGCAAGTGCTGTGATTATGCAAGAAAGGAGAACTCAAGGTGAACTCTCCAGGTTGGATTTGGGTAGAGAGGGCAACATCTGAGGCACGAAAAACTACAGTGGCTCAAAGCAAGTGGTAAGGATGAAATCAGGAAGGTGCTTGCTTGCTTTGTGTTCTACCCAGTCCTCACCTGCCAACGTGCATGTGATGGATCGCAGAGGCCACTGAGGGGTCACTGAACAGTGACTGCCTCTCCCAAAGAGAGTATATTACATCTCAGATTTACCTTAAGAAAGCCCATGAGCTAAAAGTTGGACGTGAGTGCATCAGAAACCTCCTTTTCCTGCAGCGTCAGGGATGGAACCTACATTCTCACACATGCAAGGGAAGTGCTTCATTGCTAAACTACACGCATAGTCCTACTTGTGGGGACCAAAAGGTGTCACGGATGGAACTAGGGTTAGCCAGAGGCAGGGCATGCACCATAACCTGTCTCTCTAGCTCCGTGAAAAAAAAAAAATGACCTCTTAGGTATGTTTTCCTACTTTGGATGCTAGTGAAGTTCCCAAGTTCCCAAGTAACACTCATTAGTATGCTAAGCACACATAAAGCTTCTTGGTTGCCTTTGACATACCCATCACTTTTCTTCAGCAGGTAGCCCTTCTTCTCACTGCCATACTCCTTATTGCCTTGGAGCTGATGCATGCTGTATCCTCCTTGCCGGCTCTGGGAATCCTTGAAGAGAGAAATCACACATTCAAGTGAGGCCCATTAGCAATTCTGAGCCTTTGGCTTTACAGCTGTTGGGTCTGTACTCATAGGTCTGGGGCTGAGACTGAGTACTTTAAAATGCTGCCAGGAGCTGACCTTTATTTTATAAGAGGAAACCTGGCAGGGAAACATTGGACAGTGTCACAGAACAAGTTTGAGGCAAAGTGAGGACCTGGGGTCCAGGTCACCTTTTCAAATTGAAAACAGGGTATGTCATTCAAGGAAACTCATACTTGCACCCAGATTGTAGATAGACTAGGAGAGCACTGGGACGCAAACCAGCTGGCAGGGACCCGTTGGCAAGCACAGAAAGGGCTGAAAACCCTGTGGTGGGATGCAATGTTCATGCAATCTGACTCTTCTAGGTACATATTCCACTAAAATACTCAAAGGGAATGTACCTTCCCAGCGAAATATTGAAAATGCTTACAATTCTTATACCCAGTGCTCCATAAAATATAACCGTAACAGGTTTTTAATTTAAAAAGGTGACATTATGGCAGGAAAATGCCTATGAGGTGGTAAGAAAGGTGATAGGGCTGGCTAAAGGGCACAAAGCCTTCTGATTTAAAGTCAGCCCTCCAAGAAAAGGTGGCGTTACTAGACACAACTCCTCCTGCGAACCACTAGGAGGAAAACCGCCAACACTGAGCTGCAGAGTGAGGACATGGGGCTACAGACACAGAAGTGGAACAACATATTCTTATATAAAAGGTATCGACTTACTCTCCTAGACTTCGATCAGGAAGGGCAAAAGCAACAGAGAAAAAAGGCAGAACATTTGAAAATAGAGTTAATTTCGTTGACAGCTCCATCAGTTACAAGTAATTTTTATAACACACAGGGACATTATTGCAAGGATAACACAAAATCAATCTCTCTCTCTCTCCTACTCCCCCCTCTCCACACACATTCTCCCCTGTCTCAGAATCATAACAAACTGAGTATTAAGACAATAAAATATCTTCATATTGATCACATTTTATTTCAAGTATCAGGCAGTAACAAAGAAATAACCGAGAAACATAAGGTTCATAATTCTCCAAGATAGAACGATTTTACAAACCTCAAAGTCAATGCATAAACAAGAGGAAAGCCCAAAGTGAAAGAAAAATTCATTTTTCCCCCTTAAATTAAAAAAAAATTTGGGGGGGTTCACATCAAGTGGCGCCCAGAGGCTATTCCTGGCTCTGTGCTCAGGAGTGACCTCTGGAAGTGCTGGGGACCATACATGACACTGGGGATAAAAATGGGGTCAGCTGCATGCAAGGTAAGTGCCTTACCTCCTGTACTACCTCTCTGGTCTCCTACTTAGAATATCTAAAAACTCACACAAATTGTAGGAGGAATCCTTCCCTGTCCCACACCCATGCAAAGAGAACTTTATAAAATATCCACTGCATAAGTGATGTTGCTGACAAGGTAGATGATAAATTAGCTATTAGTTAGTTACTAACAGCTTATGGTCTCTGTCATTCAGGATGTTTTTTGGAAGGATGGGGCATGGGGAACCAAATAGGATGTGCTTAGAAGACAAATTAAGCAATGGCTAAAGGAACAATTTAGGAAAAAATATGTTTGCAAGACTATTCTACATGTGGTGAATTCTGTGTACAAAGGTATGTCCTGCAAACTTCCTAAAAGCCAAGCGGGGAATGGTGAAAACAGTCCTGAGGGTACCCAATGGGACCTCTCCTTCTGGGAGTACTTATATGTTCACCACAGTGTACAGCTTTCTGAGTAGGTAAGCTGGAGCTGACAGTATGTTTCAGCAGATAAATTCATTCATACTATGAGGTTATAAACCTTAAATTTTTTTTTTAAGATTTATTTAGTTATTGCTTTTTGGGTCACACCTGGAGATGCTCAGGGGTTACTCCTGGCTCTGCACTCAGGAATTACTCCTGGCGGTGCTCAGGGGACCATATGGGATGCTTGGAATTGAACCCAGGCCGGCTGCGTGCAAAGCAAATGCCCTACCACTGTGCTATCACTCCAGCTTCCCTTAAATATTTTCTTAATTTCAATAATTCTCTTCCAGCCTAAAGCTCTAATTCAACAAATATGATCAAGGGTAGAAGAACATAGACTAGGCATCTCTTCAAGAATTCTACAGGCTGAAAGACAGAGAAGGAAAGAAATCAAGGGGGTGTAAGTCAGAAGACGAGGAAGGAAAGACAAAGATGATGTAGGGGTTAAGGGCCTCGGGTCCATCAGAAATGTGGGGGAGTCGAATAAGTTATATATTCAAACCACAGTATTATCAACACTGAAAACATGAGATCCAAACTACAGCCACCAAACTTTAAAATGTGCCTGCCAAGGTGGCAGGCTGGTAGGTTAAGAGGTAACCCGGGAAAGCGGATAATGGGATTCGGGCTGGAACACTGTATGTCTTTTTTGCATTTTGGGTCCCACCCGGCAATGCTCAGTGGTTATTCCTGGCTCTACACTCAGGAATTACTCTTGCTGATGACCACATGGGATGCTGGGGATCGAACCTGGGTTGGCCGTGTGCAAGGCAAACACCCTACCCACTGCACTATCACTCCGGTCCCAACACTGTATGCCTTAAACTCAACTATCAATAACTTTGTAACTCAAGTTTGTAATAATAATAAACCAACAAGAATTCTCCTACAGTTACTTTCAATAAGGGCATACAACTAGGACTCCACAGACCTTCGGCTGCTGATGCTGTGCCTGGCCCGCCGAGTCCTTCCTGTTCTATAGGGGCGGGAGGGAGAGGGGTTGGGACCATGATACCTGACACCTGGGTGCTGTGCTAAACTCAGAGAAGGAAAAACCAGCCTTCCTCCACCTCTGCACTTCTCAAGCAGGGTCCAGATGACCCCTTTTGGGCTCCCAGGATATTCCAACTGAAATTTGAGTAAATGGCGGTCTATGGCACAAGACTAGGAGCCAACCAATAGGGCCGGGTGAGGGGGCCACAGGAAGGAAACTATTTCAGCGGCAGTCACGTTAAGAAACAGATGAAGAAACACTGCTCTACCTGCCTTGACTGATACTCCCCAGCAATAAGGGGAGTGACATGGGTGTGTGTTTTAAAACCATGTGGCAGGCAAGGTGTTCATAATATGATTAGGACAGAAAATTAGGCTGGTGAGTAAAGAAGTGAGGCCTGATAAAAGCAGCAGGGTTAAATGAAAATTCAGGGCTTTCTGCTTTAATCCAATGAAACTGTATAAAAATTAACTCCACTATGGATAGAGTCGGGAACCGCTGCCATATTATGCTTCCTCTAAACATTAAACACAAAATCTCCTTGGGTATCAATTCTCATTCAAAGGATAACTTTCCCTGGGAACCCATTAATTCCTTGTTTATATGAATACCTGAACAGGAGGCTTTCTGCCCCAGCTTCTCTAAGCACATTTGCTAGCCTTTAAAAAGAAGCATAAGGCTTTAATTCCATTTTATTCTATTTATTTATTGGGGAGGGGTGGTCACACCAGGCAGTACTCAGGGGTTACTTCTGGCTCCATGTTCAGGAATTTCTCTTGACAGTGCTTGGGGGAGCATATGGAATGCTGGGGATCAAATCTGGGTCAGCTGCATGCAAGGAAAGTGCCCTATCCACTGTACTGTATCGCTCGGTCCTCAGCCTGAAGTTTTTAAAGTAAAACTAGTTTTAAGCAAAAAATTAGGGGTTTTAATTCCAAAAAACTATTATACTCTATAAACTTACTTTAAGCCAACCATAACATTTACAAGCAACTTAAAATTCTGAAAAACAAACACATCAAAGAGGACTTGCTTTATTTTACACTTACAACCATATACTTTTAAAGCCAGACAAAGTGACAGAAGTCTAGGTTTGGAACTCAGAAGCCCGCTGCATTTAACTGAGCAGGAATGGAGTATGAGGCTGTAGAGTCCCGTCATTAACAAACCTAAATGAACTACTAATGAGGTTTATGGCTTAAAAATGTCATACAAATTATTATTTCTAGACTTCTGAGAAATGATGGCCATTAACTTGTATAGTATGGTACTCCGGAGAAATAGAGAGAGGCTTTTTCCGCCCCCCAGAAAGTGGAGAATGGCTAACACTAATAATTTTTAAAAAAATGGAAACATAGTTCGATGGATAAAATAGATCGTGGATCCCTAGAGAGCATAACAGAAATCAGAATGAATTTAGAAATGAAAAATGCAAATGAGAAATTCATTCAAGCCAAAAATATAAAACTAAAGATATAAAATTTTAGTTTTATATAAAGATATGTAAAACTAAAAATATAAAATATAAAACTAAATTTAAACAATGGGCTTAAAATAAAAGCTTTTGGAAATTACATGAGAATCAAGAAGTGCGAAGTATAGACTGAAATGATGGCATCAGTTTTAAGTTCAATTTCTCATTATTAGCACTACAGATAATCTTATTTTATGATTTAAAAAATCTACATATAAAATGCATTATTAAGGAGTACAACCTCAAATCTTTTTAAACGGCAAGCAATTATCACTCATTGATTTAATGGGGCTATAAATGTTTCTGGCATCAAATTTAAAACTAATGTGATGTATGAATGAAAAGGACAAAGGATTTTTCCTTTTTAATCTTATTAAATATTTGAGTACTTTTGGATACCACCCAGTGTGCCATATACTGTGAAGAAAGGATCTGTCCAACAACTTGCAAATGAACAATCATGGGCTACTGAGACTAAAAATAGAACAGTACAATTGTTGGTATGGAAAAAAATTGTATGAAGAAAATTATTATTCAGGACTAGGAAAATGGCTAAAAGGGTTGGAGTACATGCTTTGCATGTATGACCAAGCACTGAGCACCTCTGCGAATGACTCCCAAGTACAGAGCTTGGACTAGCCTCTGAGCACCACCAAGCATGGCTCCGAAGCCAACAGAGCTAGAGAGACAGGACAGCGCAATGGGTGGAGCATATGTTTTGGTGCAGGTAGCCCAGGTTTGATCCCTGGGCTTGCAAATGGCCCCACAGCACTCAGGAGTGACCATAAGCATTAAGTCGGGAATAACCTGAGTATCAGTGGGTATGACCCAGAAACCAAAAGAACAACAGTAACAAAATAAACTAAATTTATATAAAACATTTACAGTGCAGTTCAGTCTGGAATGCCATTATTTCTCTTATTAATGAGACTCTCTTTGTTGTCTTTCTTTGTAGAATCTCACATTTTTTTCTCTCTCTCTCCTTCCCTCCTTCCTTCCCTCTCTCCCTCCCTCCCTCCTTTTTGAGTCACACCCAACTGTTTTCACTTTGCACTCAGGAATCAGTCATGGAAATGCTTGGGGAACCATATGGGATGCCGGGGATTGAACCCAGGTCGAAAGCATGCAAGGCTAATCTCTACTCACTGTACTACCACTATGACCCCAGTATTATAAAAATATAAAGCTATTTTCAAAAAACAGACAAAAAAATATTTCAACCCGAAAAATAGGGATGTAGCAAACAGTTCTTCTGGGATATCAGAATATTATAAAAGCATAAAGTAATTTAAAAGATGATCTGTCAAAAGTTGATATTTTTTAAATAATAATATTAATAAAAAAATTTATAAAATGGGGCTGGAAGGTCAGTTCAACTTAATGAGCTGAGGACATACTTTGCATGAGTATCTCTTGATCCGGATACTCCTGGGAACAATTTCTGCACAGAGAGTTGGGAGTAGCTCCCGAATGCTGCCAGGTGAGGCCCAAAATCTACTACCACTACCAATAACAACAACAACAAACATAGAATTTTTCAAATATTCAGGGATCCTTCTATACAGCTTAAATTTTTGATAATGGCATCAAATTTGAACCTCACTGGAGCAAAAAGGTTAAGTATTTTTGTTGTCGATTTTATTTCCTCAGGTCATCTTTTATACTTCTCTCAAATAGCAACAGTATGGTGAGAAGTCATTAAAAATCATACCTTCCAAACCAGTCTGCAATGAAAGATGATAAGGAACATGAGAATGGGCTAGGCATGCTGGGAAAAATTCATTTTAGTTGGAATGGAGAGGTAGTAAAGGGGTTAAGATGCCTCCCTTGCCTCCCAAACCCTGGTTTGATTCCTGATACGAGATGTCCTCTGAGCGCAGGGCTGGGAATAGCATAGTTCCCCAGGACTGCTGGGTGCGCCCCACAACCCACCATGATTAAGAAAAAAAATTTTTGCTTGTAAAATAATCTGGATATGGTGCAAATTAGAAGTCATTTATTATTTTGGGAGTAGAGGTCAAACAAATCAAATCAGCCTGAGGATACAATTACTGAAGTCTACCCCTTCAAAGTCAGGTTAGCCAGTCCACAGTCATGGATGTTGGACTGAGGTGAGGGGAATCTTTTTTATCAGGAGGAAAAGGAACTAACTCATTATGCTCTGTAATGTGGTAGATAAACATTCATATCTTATTTGCCCTCAAAACCACTCTGGAAGTCAGCTGTCAAAATTCCCGTTGGCATACCTGGACATACCAACAGTCCCACAGTTACCCCAGATGGAAACATAGAGCACCTACTTCTTTCTGATCAAGTTGAAGAGAGGATTTTATTAAGTCTCGGAGGGCTGTGAGCTGTTTCTTTTCTTCATCTTGGGTCTGTTTTATCTATCAGAAAAAATGTTTACTTCTATTATTTATCTTCCATATATGTATGAGCAGAGTTTAATTCATTCAAATTTACCATGTGTCAAACAATTCAATTACAGAGCTGATTTATTTTTTTATTAGTGAAACATCATAAGGTATAGTTGTAGACTTACAAGTTTTTGTGCTTGGGTTTCAGTTATACAATGATCGAGTACCCATCCCACCACCAGTGCTCATTCTCCACCCCCACCAATCCCAGTATCCCTCCCATCCCCCATCCCCCAGAGTTGATTTTCTTATAAAAGTTCTCTGCAGTCTCAGTTGTAATATGACACATATAATTTCCTCATGAATGTACCAGTGAATTCTGAAATTAGTCAATAGTACAACATACTTTCTTATTGAAGAATACATCTAGGCTAAACAATTAAGGCTAAAGTAGTCCTTGAAACAAAGTTAATAAGCAACAGCCCATCGTCTGCGTCTGTTTTTTCAAAGGGTGCTATGATGTAATTACACGAGCCAGAAGATGATCCTTGAACAAGCAGAATCCAATGGGTCTATGTATATGTGAAAATTAATCAGGTACCACATTAGGGCAAATGATTGGTGCCACTTTTGTTTCAACTGAAAACCTGACTGCAACTTGATCCATGTTATATATTAAAAGAAAACGTGAAAATGAAAAGTATTACTATTACTTTTAATAAAATCATACTCAGTGGTGTGGCTGGAGCTGTGGGCTGTGATGCTAAGGCCTATCCTGGAGATAAGGGCCTTATGGGTCCTCGAGCAGGGTGCATGCAGAGCTGGGAAAGCAGTCAGGTTCTCGCATACACTGGACATATGCTCCATTGTTCGAGCTATCTCCCTGATCCCTCCACTTTTACTTTTAAAGTTATGAAAGTATGGAAGGCAGAATCTGTACAAAAACCTATCTGAAAATATGCAAATACACTCAAAAGCCATTATTTTTTATTTCTAAAATTAACTTCAAAACAATGAGATTATACAACTATATATATAGTTTTAGGGTACTATTTACACTTGCTCAAACAAGCACATGCAGAAAGGCTGTCTAAACAGTATAGTAGTAATTGCTGTGTCTGCCAATCAACATTCAGTTCCCAGGACAACATGGTCCCCGGAGCACAGAGCAAGCAGCAGACAACAATACTGCCAGGTGTGGTACATAACAACAAAACCCCCTCCAGGAGGTTATGCTGTAGTTCAGGAACATGGCTCAGTGGCAGACCACTTGTCTTGCATGTGTTAAGCCTGGAATTATCTATCTCGTTGGTGATACAACAAAAGTCAAAACCAAAGCTTCACAGAATTTCAACATTCTTCACTACCAAAAAGTTCGAGGAAAGTTGGACATTTCTATATGTGTAGTTCTATCCCCCTCAAACAAGTTTTCCTTTTGATGCTCTTATCAGAAAACCAAGATCCATATATTTGGGGGAAGTTGGGGGCAAACAAGTAAACCCCTAGGAAACCTACCTACTTAGAGATTTTTCATTTTCACTCTTCCAGCATCACTCATTCTTCCTGCAATGCTATGGAAGGCAACTGTTGAAATCTGAATGGAGACTATCCAGAACCAATGCTTATTTACTGCCCTCCCTGTTCTGTCCAGTTCCAAAAACATATGCTAGATCATTAATGATTTCTTGAAATTAATCTGAGGTTTGTTTGTCCTAGGTTTATAATGACACATATATCCTTGTTATTTTTTTTAAAAAAGACTTTTCTAATACAGAGTTCAAATTTATTAATATTAACCTAAAGCAAGTTAAAATGCACGTATTTTACAACAAACTTACATTATATAGGTCAGCAGCCAATTTTTCGATGTACTGTTTCAACTTATCAGCTGTCTTCAAACCATCTTGAAAGAAACTGCAACAGAACATAAGAGCTCTACCACCATATACATGTATAAAATAAAATGAACTATAATTGCTTTCAAAACCAGAAATACACACTATCTATATTTACAAAGATCAGTTATTAAACTAGTTTCATTATTTTATAGTATTTTATAATACTGAAATTACTATCAATAAATTATAAGTGCCAGTCCACATGTACTAGTACATACTACAGAATGTAAATTACTGTACTTTCTCAGCACAGTGATTTTGTAATGTGTACACCCATAAACATGAAAGTGTTCCCCCTCATAGTGAATTTGAGAGATATACACTAACCACTGGAATACAATGTAATTGCATGGGATACGCTAAGCTTAGAGATATGTGACTAATATGCAAACAAAGGCTGAAGAAAAGACATTTTTGGTTTTAAATATCCCTACGTTCTTTACAAGGGGCCCTTATGACACAGACAGTTGGAAATGATCACTCTGGATAAGAACTGTGTGCTGAAGTAGGTAAAGGAACAAACACGATAACCCTCAGTATCTGTACTGCAAACTATAATGTCAAAAGGATTGAGGGGTGGGAGAGAAAGAGAAGAGACAGAGAGAGGGGAGAGGAGGCAGGCAGTGGGAAGGGAAACTGGGGTTCACTGGTGGTGGGAAATGTACACTGGTGGAGGAATGGGTGTTAGAACACTGCATGACTGATCATGAACAAAGTTGTAACCGTGTATCTCATGATGATTCAATTAAAAAAAAATAAAACAAAAAATTCACCTATGAATAAAAAAAAGGATCCTCAACATGGAAAGTATCATGTTAAATGAAATGAGTCAGAAAAAGAGGGACAGACATAGAAAGACTGCACTCATTTGTGGAATATAAAGTAACAGAATGGGAGACTGACACCCAAGAATAGTAGAGATAAGGACCAAGAGGATCACTCTTGAAGCTGGCCTCATATGCTGGGGAAAAGATTCAGATAGAGAAGGGACCACCAAGTAAAGGGTGCTAGGAGGGCCTGTTTGGGATGGGAGATGCGGGCTGAAAGTAGAAGATAGACCTAATTTGATGTGCACTTAATACCTCTATTGCAAACCACAACACCCAAAAGGAGAGAGAGCAAAAGGGAATGCCCTGCCATAGAGGCATGGGGGCGGGAGGGGACAGGGTGGGGTTGGTGCGAGAGATGCTGAGACCATTGGTGGTAAAAAATGGGCCCTGGTGGAGGGATGGGTACTCGATCAATGTATGACTGAAACGCTAGCATAAAAGTTTGTAAGTTTGTAACTGTACCTCACGGTGATTCACTAATAAAAAATTTAAAAAAAAAAGGATCCCTATGTTCCTAACACAAATGACTATAGGAACAACTTTGTTGAATAGGGGGCACTGAAGGATTTGGAAAGCTATAATCTACCCCTCCTTATAAGAAGGCTGCATTATTTAATTTTGAATAATAACAAAACACTAATATAAGTTGAGCACTTCGCACATGCTAAGTACTTATCATGAGCTATTTCATTTACTCCTGAAGCATCGTCTCCACTTCAAAAGGAAAACCAAGGCAGAGTGAGTACCTAACTTGTGAAAGCTGCACACATCCTAGTAAGTGGCATAACTGCACTCAGGTACAGGTACACGCTTCATCTTAAACTACCCTGTCAAGAGACTCCACTCAGTTCTGTTCGTTTCTGTGTTTAGGAGCTTCTCGACTCTACAAGGAGCATTTTTAACCATTCTTCCACTCCAAACGGTTTCTCAAGGCACTTCATCGATGTAGCTCTCCCTCTTCACGCAAGAACGAGGACTGTTGTATCTCTGTATCATGGGTGGCCCAGTGAGAAACTGAAGCTTAGTGAATGGCTGAGAGCTAGGATTTTAGAGCACTAGTTGTTTCTGCCTTCTTGATGCAGGCTATTCTCCTAGGTGTGAAGTTGCTTGTCACTGTCACTTAGATTTGCATTTTCCTGATAGTGATAATGAGCATGTTTTTCAAGTGCGTACAGATCCATTGCATGTTTTCTTGGGTGAAGTGTCTGTTCAGCTCTTCTCCCACTTCCTATCTTCTAACATTCAAATTGACCGTCCATGCCAACAAGGATAAAACTCAAATACACAGAATTAAGTAACTTGACATTCTGGACCTAAATATCTTTTTAACATGAATTCCTTTTATTTATCCTTTAAAACCCTGGGCTCCAGTCACTCTACTTTCCCAGTTGCTCCAGAGTCTTCACCTGCACTGTTTCCTTTGTCAGAAATGCCCTCCCCTACTTACTACAAACATTCCCTCCTTTAGGCTGGGAGTTCCCAACACATTCCCCAGCTCTCCAAGCTGCTTTTCCAAGTCCTGTTAATCAGGCGGCTGGCATTGTTGAATATCTGCTAATGTCCAAGATTTTAAGTGTTGGCCTGAGAGTTACTAGCAAAGTTTTGCACAGAGCAGGCCCTTCTCAGCACTAAATTGTCCTTAGCATTAGATTGGACTGGCACCTAGACCTGGGAAGGATTGTCTGCCAAGAAGGCAGAAGTATGACTACAAAGTTAATCATAGCAGAACTAATTTTTGATCTTCGATGCCACACTTAAATAATACCCAGAGAATGGCTCCGAAGGTAAAAACAAAGAAATGAAAGAACCAAAAACTTCACCAAACTCATTGTAAAATGGCCGCTACCAGGCCTTCTTATGACTTAACATACAAGGGCTTTGGGGACAGAGGATTATGGCTTATAATCTGTGCTCTAAGATACATCAGCTATGTGACTTAAGCAAGTGTTATCCACTTCACATTGATTAACTTTTGCTTTTGTTTTTTTTCGGTATTTAGTGGAATAATAGAGATGACACACATGGAATCTGCAGTTAGGACCCGTTCAGCAAACATTTGTCTTGGTTTGTCATGTAAAGAATTATTTTTTTCCCAGAATGATACAGATACTTTGTAGACATTCTTGCAAAGGTGTCTCAAGTTCACATTGAACATGAAGATACTTTAATTCCTTCTCCCCGGTGATCCTCAGGAAATCTTGGCCAATCAGGCTGGCAAGAACCCGAGGTACAGTGCTGCTCCAGCCTCATGGTGATGAGGATTTTCCCAGCTACCCTAATAATGCTTGGTAGTCCCAGTGTCACACAAGGCATTTCTGGGGGTGGGGTCCAACACTGTACCTGATGATGCACCAGGCACATGCAGTGTCTGTGACTGAACCTGGACCTCCCCTCCTGCATGCGAAAGAAAGCACTAAGCCTGTTGAGATACCTCTCCAGCCTTACCAATTTAAACAAGAAAGCTAGATGCAAGGAACAATGATATCATGCTACCTGCTACAACCTGGATAGAACTGAAAGTCATCAACTTCAGAAGAGGGTCAAACACAGGATAATGAGATAATTTATCTGTAGTGGATAGAGTAACTGGATGAAGGAATGCAATGTAGTGGTGGGGGGGGGGGGTTGGCGGTGCCTAGATCATCAATGAACCCACACTATAGGAGGAATAATGACAAAGAAAGAAACTGAGGTGGAGGGAGTTACAAGATGTCACTGTCACTGTCCTCCCATTGTTCATCGATTTGCTTGAGCGGGCCCAGTAACATTGTGAGACTTATTACTGTGTTTGGCATATCGGATACGCCATGGGTAGCTTGCCAGGTTTTGCTGTGCAGGCGAGATACTCTCGATAGCTTGCCGGGCTCTCCGAGAGGGGTGGAGGAATCGAACTCAGGTCAGCCATATTGGCTGTGTGCAAAGCAAACACCCTACCTGCTGTGCTATTGCTCCAGTCCAACAAGATGAGGACAAGAATTATTGGGGGGGAGGAGGGGATCTTGGGTACACTAGTAATGTGGAGGAATGGTATAACTACATATCCAAACCTCAGAGACAATAACACTGAAAACAGGAAATCCAAATGACAACAACCAAACTTAAACCATGCCTGTCAATTTAATGGGGGAATGGGTGGGAGGAAACCTGGGGACACTGGAGGGAGCTTGACGCTGGTGGCAGATTGCTGCAGGGATACAGTATGTCTTAAGCTCAATTATGAATAACTCCGCAAATCACTGTGTCGGCCTAAGGAGGAATCATTTTACTCTATCATACATTTTTTGCAAACAAAACAAATCATATATAAACTGGGTTATCTTTCCAATGAGATTATGGGATCCCCCTCCACTTGCTTTTTACTAACTTTATTTTATTAAGAAAAAATATATATTGTACAGGTCAAAAAAAAAAAAACAACACCTAGCCTAGAAGGGCAGAACTGAACCATCTTTAGAAAGGTATTTTGGGGTCAAGTTCTAATTTATGGTAAGAAACTAGAGCAGGGGAGAGGATGACTCATAGGGAGAAAGTGAAAGTCCATTGGTAATGCTCCAAAGAGCAAAGGCCAACATGCTGTTTGCTACTGCACTGTTGCTTCCCAGATAACTTGGTTCTCCCCTTTTTAAGGGGTGTTCCGTCTCAACCGAGGGCTGGATGGATGGGGACACAACACCTTTGACAGTGGGCTTCTGTCTCCCTTCCTAAACTTTGGCACGGCCAGGCTCTGGCTTAGTGAAAAATGCAGATTTTGGAATCTAGAATATCTTATTCTGGCTGTAAACCTTGCTGGATGTATAACCTGGGGCAGGTTCCTGATGTGTCTGAACATGAGCCTGGTCATCTCCAAATATGCACATTTTCCAGCTTCATGGAACATCAGATAAAACCAGATGAAAGTATTCTGCTAATGGGCAAGTAAGGCACCCGCGTCAGTTCTGAATACTCTTGAACAAGTAAGCCTTCCAAACAGCATGGGAAATTGTCTGGACAATATCCCACTGTCCCTCACCCACCTTTTCTGTAAATTACTGAACTATAGTAAGATCTTTAAAAAACGAGATGAAGATTAATGGGAAATCATAATGATAATGGCAAATGTTTTGTCTGCAAATCCCTATTATGCGCAATTGGCAAAATGCTATAGTTTCTGTTGACTTCATTATAGTTCACAAAATAGGTAATTCTTATTACTAATCTGCAAGACAGATATAATTGAGACCCAGAGAGACCAAGTGGCTGAATTCAGATCACTGAGTCATTAGCAGCAGAATGTAGTTTGATATGTCTTCTTATCTCTAGAGCACGAGTAAGTTCAGGCAGAGCCAGTCCAAATCCTGGTCTCCCACTTGGTAAGAGCATCATCCCTGAGTCACTGTGCATCAGAGTCCTCACACAAGAAACAGATACGATCGCAGGTACCTAGGAGCTTTCTCGTGAGCACTACAGTAGTAGTGCCAGGCCCAGAAAAGCAATTCAATACACAATGTTACAGGATAGCCAAAATCTGCTGTACTACTTCTCTGATATTAGGGATAATAGGAGATTTGACTTCACTTTTCTTTTTGGGGGCCCCACCTGATAGTGCTCAGGGCTTACTCCTGGTGGATGTTGGAGGACATAAGGGATGCTGAAGATTGAGCAGGGGTTGGCCATATTCGATCTGCTGTATTATTGCTCCAGCCTTAGTTTAGCTTTTTGAAATAAATGTGACCATACTTTAATGATATAGGGTGCTAGAAAATACTAAGTTGTTAACTCAAGGGTCCAGCCTTCAATTTTACACTTATTTGTTACAGTATACCATTAACTGCAGAGTGAAACTTTAAAATGTGAAACCATTTCAATATATTCAATATATCACTCAATCAATATACAATTTTTGCAACTGCAACACATTTGCATATGGTAGGATAAACTTTGGAAAGAAGAAAAAAATTAACTTCAAATTCATGTAAGAACAATTTGAGGGGCTGGAGAAAGTACAGTAGGTAAAGCACTTGCCTTGCATAAGGCTGACCTGGGTTCAAGTCCCCAGCACTGATTATCTATGGTCTCATTAACCCACCAGGAGTGATTCATAAACACCGAGCTAGGTAAGCCCTGAGCATTGCTGTGTGTGAACCCAAGCCCAAACATAAATAATTTCATCATAGTAAAAGTTTTCTGAAGAGAATCCTATAAAAATAAATGAATGCTTTTAGCACCACTTAGAATCATCTAATGCCAACACATAAAATGCAGCAATCACTGGACTAAGTACTTGGCATTATATTATCTTATTTAAAATTTCTTAGTCTTCAAAAAAAAAAACTGAGGAGAGGTACTTCAGGGAACCTTACTTCCTGTCACAGATGAGAACACTGGGGTTTTGACAAGCACTAGATAAAGATTATACCGATGCCTGCTGTGGTAGGACTGGGATTTGAACTCACTTATCTGACTTGACTTATGCCCATTCCACCTGAAATTAATGATGATGTCCTTATATGTTGCAATCAAATACAAAGATCTTTTTAAAAATGGCATCATAAGAAATGGGGGACAATCAGAGGAAATCACAAATTTTAACTTTGGGAAGAGTAAGTATTTTATCTAGTTCTAATGACCTTTGTAAGTTTTCTATGAACTATAAGGAAAATTGGATGGATGCATCCTATGAGTCAACTGACACATGAATCAATGTGTACACTGATTCAAAAGACTTCAATGGTAGTGGTAATATTTCACACAGAAACGAGAAGGCCTATGGAAGCTATGTCATCATGTAAATAAGAAGTAGATAAATGAGGTGCCAGAGAATCACAGACATCTTATAATAAGGTAGTTCTGCATGTATAAAAAATGTACCAGTAGAGATTTCTGAAAATATACCAGTATGTATGTAAGAGTGTGGACAGTAATGCTGTTTTCTTAATGTCCAAAGTATTTAACTTCACTCAGATGACGGTTACAAAAAAAAAAAAAAATCCAAGTAGGACTATGTGGTACAAAGGACTCAGTACTAGGTAAAATGTAAATGAGGCAGTAAAGAAGGTGGTTACTGGAAAACTTTTGGGAGTGAAAGGAACATGTGTGCCTGTAACTCGAGCTGCACAGGTGTCAAGGCCAATGTGAAGATTTGTAAGACGGCACTGAGTAGCCAAATCATTACAAAATAACATGAGGTAATGATTCGCAGAAAATACAGACACTGGGGGACAATACTATTTCTTCTCATTTGACTGTAAAAGATGGCCAAATGAAAAAGCAGAAAGAAAATTAAGTATGCCAATGAAGTGAAGGAGTCTTTTTTGAAATATTTGTAACATTCTACTTACTTGCACTGTGCATGATAATACTTGATAAGATTCTGCAGCAGATCCACACCCTTTTTGGTCTTGATTTCGTTGACTTTAATGAGATACTGTGAAAATAAAATGGAATTTTATGTTGACCATCACAATTAGGATGCTCCAGTCATGGGCTTGATTGGCAGAATACCAATCATGAGCCCGCACAAGTTTCTGTGCATGAGCTTAATTTAGGGAATATTGATTTGGTCTAGTCACAATGGACAAGACTTCTTAGAGTGTTAGCATTTTATTAATATCTAGGATTAGTTTACCAAGCAAGCATAAAATCAGACACAGCAAAACATTCTGAAATAATTATTACCTCGGTACAGTGGGTCTCAAAACTTATGGTTCCTGTTATCAAATCCCATTGGTTCTTTTTAGAAAACAAGAAAAATTAGCATTCTCTTCAAGGAACATGCAATCAGATATTGAGACTTTCAGACCGAGGAGGTGAATCCAAAAGAATTTTTATGACAAAAAAATAGTGCTTTATTCACTTATGTGATTAACTACGCATTACTCGTTCTCATTTTCACAACTGTTCAAGAAATTTTCATAGTTTAGTTCCACACTTAGGTGTTTTATGGCGTGGAACTATCTATAAGCAGTCAAGCATAAAAGAAAGTCAAAGGCTTATCAGGGAGAAAAACAAAATTTGAGGAAGAAAATTTGTAAGTGAGGAAATTCTATGTAAATATTTTCTGAAAACTACACAGAAAATCCAACTTCATAGCATCAGAATGATCTGATCTCTAGGTAGAAGTGTGAGTGCTGAATGTGAGCTCAGTTTGAGAACCACTGCTCTAAGTTTAGGCATCATGCTTTTCATTGAAATTTTTCTCATGAACTCAGATATCTTAATGACTATTTCATTTAAACTTTCATTCAAACTGGACACACGGTTATAAAAAAACAGCAACATATACATGCTCTCAACTTATACCAGTATACTATAAAATTCATCAGTGTTATCCCTCACCAAATTTTTTTCCCCCACACTCACAAGCGACATTAAGTTCTCACCCAACAATCCTGTTTTGGCTCAAAGAGCCCAATGACCAAGGTTCAAAATATGAGACAACAGTGCAATGGTAGATCCCAAACAGCTTGGAGAAAAAGGGAGATTAGAATCCTTAAAAAATGGTACCCTCTGCTAATTAATCACAGCCTGCATTTAAGCATAGAAACTGCCGATAGGAAAGATGTGACAGCTAACAGAACTCGAGGCGAGTGGTAAGACAGTCTGTTCTTACTTCACACATTTGGAGCTGAAACAGTCGCCTTTCTTTCTCCATTTCCTCAGCAATCTCAGCTCCAGTTATCTCGGTCCTGATCATCCCATGCTGTTTTGCATGCTCTCTCTTCTCCTTCTCAATTTTTGTACTGTAAACAAAGCAGATGCCATCATTTTGTTACTGTTTTTTGCTTTTTAGGCCACACCCAGTGATGCTTAGGGGTTACTCCTGGCTCTACCCTCAGAAATTACTCCAGGCGATGCTCAGAGGACCATATGGGATGCTGGAGGTCAAGCCTAGGTCAGCCATGTGCAAATCCTACCCGCTGTAGCTCCAGTCCCTCCATCATTTTTTTTTAACCAAAAAAAAAAAGGGAAAGAAAGGCATAGTCTTTTTTTGTCTTGGGGCTATAGCTGGCAGTGTTTCAAGGACCATGTGGAGCCACAGAACAAGACTGTGGCTCCTGAAACAAGCCAAAGAATTAGGCCTCACGTCATCACTTACTTCCCCCCCTTTTTCCCCTTCAGTGAGAATCACTTGATTATTTCTTCATAAAGTTGAGGCAGGAACCCCATTTTCTAAGTTATAAAAATGGAAAATTGGGGTTTCTGAATGCTGCAGTCGCTGGGGCCACTCCAGCAATGGTTGGCTCACTGGTGCAGGCCTGAGAGCTCAGTGCTTCGGAGCCAGCATGGCTACACCTGGTGGGTCTGGCAATGTAGAAATCACATCTGGGCCTCATGCACACCTGACACACTCTCAGCCACTTGCATTGAGTCTCCCACCCAACAAAGGGACTCTTAAATTGGTAAAATGAATATACTGTATAGAATATATACATAGATGTGTGTGTGTGTGTGTGTGTGTGTGTGTGTGTGTGTGTGTACTATATGTATGTGCACCTAAATACATAAAGAGTTGGGTTTTTTGAGGAGAGGACAAATGCCCACCACCTGTGCTCAGGGCTTACACTCTGCTCTGTGCTTAGGGATAACTTCCTGGCAATGCTTGGAGAACCATATGCAGTGCCAGAGATCAAAACAGGGTTGGGTTGGATGCAAGGCAAGTACCTGTACTGCCTCTCCAACTTAACAACTTTTTGAGATAGAAGAATCACAAAGTTGGAGACCCAAGATGTATACTGAATACAAATAGATTTTGAAACTAATCAAAATTTTTAGTTCTCTAAACTTGGGCTGATTCCATATCCCAGTAACATTTTAATCATAAAACCACCAGGAACTGGATTGCTCAAAACAAGAAATGGGAGAAATCCAGATCTATAATTGAAAATTCTAGAAAAACACTTCCCAGTGGGGAAAGGCGGAGAAGGGAGCTTGTGAATAAGAAAGTTAACTATACAGTGCTTGCAGATAATGCTTAACTAAATTCCTCATAGTATTAATGGTCACAGTCCTCTTTCTAAGGGTATAAATAATTTGAAAACAGGCTTCCAATTAAAAACTACTTATGAGGGAGCCGAAGGGATAGTACAGTGGGTAGGGTACCTCTGGCCGACCTGGGTTCGATCTCTGGCATCCCATATGGTCCCCAGCACCACCAGAAGTAATTCCTGGGTGCAGAGCCAGGAGTAACCCTGAGCATCGCTGGGTGTGAATTAAAAAAAAAGTATTAGTTTTTTTTTTATTTTTTTGTGAATGCAATGTCTAATTTAACCTTCAAGTCTTATTTTAACTGGTGGTGGAAATCAAACTCCAAAGAAAGCCAGTATTTTTTCCTGTATACAAAATAATGGGGACAGGCTGGAGTGATATCACAGAGGGAGGGCATTTGCCTTGCACGTAGCCAACCCGGGTTTGATTCCCAGCATCCCATATGGTCTCCGAACACTGCCAGGAGTAATTCCTGAGTGCAGAGCCAGGAGTAACCCCTGTGCATCCCTAGGTGTGACCCAAAATTTATAATATAATAAACTGAATGTAATATAAAATAAACACATATATAAACATATATGAATATGAATATAATATATAATACATACATATACATTTAATAATTATAATTCTATATAAAAATAACTCTTGTAAACAGACTGTCAATACACATATCATGGTACATGAAGAAACTTTGGAAAATCTTTTATGGAAAAGATCTCAACATTTTTCTAATTTAACATTTTTTTTTCTTTTTGGGTCACACCCGACAATGCACAGGGGTTAACTCCTGGCTCAGCACTCAGGAATTACTCCTGAGCATGCTCCGGGGACGATATGGGATGCTGGGAATTGAACCCGAGTCAGCCACGTGCAAGGCAAATGCCCTACCTGTTGTGCTGTCACTCCAGCCCCAACATTTTTCTAATTTAAAACTCCATTCTACTACTCAAAACCCTATATGTCATAGACAAAGAGACAGGAGAAAAGTACTACATTTTTCATTAGCAATACTGGACATTAAAAAGTATGACATACTTCAATATTTTAAGGAAAATGACTATAAAATTAGGATTTTCTATTCAACCAAACTTTGATTCTCTATGATGGCAGAGAGAAGATATTTTTGGAAATGCTAAAACTGGAACATTTTATCTTTAGAACTGTTCATTGGAAATAAACTAGAGGGGATAAGCCTGCAAACAATGGAACTCTAAGGAGAAAGAAGAGATGTAATAATAAAGAATGGTCTCGAGACGACTGCTACACTGCTGAACTAAGACTAAGCCCTCTGGAAGGATGGCTGAAGAGTTAAATGATAGTAAATGTATGGTCATTATAATGATATTTGTATGATGTAGTCTCTGAACAATAACATTACTGATAATAAAAATTTATGAACGGTCCACATATAACTTAGCAAATCAAGAAATGGGTGAGTATTAAGAGAGCAAAACACTGCACTAGAGTAGAAATTCAGTCATAATCTATTTGGCAATGAATATATTCACAAGAATTTAAGCACAGGGGCCAGGAATGTGGCTCACTGTTCTGACATGCTCTGCATGTGTGAGTAAGCCTGCATCCTATCCTGACACTGCTGGATGTGGTCCAACGTGCTATCAAGAGCTTTCCCTGGCCCTGCCACTACTGTTAGGTACAGAGAGTCATTGGTATGGGCGAGGAGATGGGAGTGCGAGAAACAACGGGGAGAAATGAGGAAGGGCCAGCGTATGGCAGAATGATGTCAAGGGCAAACTAATGATGAGAAGGGAATTCTACCCAAGTTCAGGATACTTTCCCCTTTGATACAGTCAGGGGAGCAAGGACGGGTCAGTCCTAGGTGATGCTTGAGAGCTTTGGATAACAGTGGGTTGTCCTTGCTCCTCCCACAGGGAGCTTAGGTTTGCTGAGTTACTCCCACAAAAGTGCTCCTGAGGCACTAATAATCCTATATTGCATTTCTCTGTCCTTTATGTCACTTGCAAGATTTAGCAATGTCCTTTTTGTATAGGCACAGGAAGACCATTGATGCTGTCCTTTTGTAACATGGGAATTAACTGACTTCAAATAATATTTACTCCTGAGCATCCATCATATTTAAGCCTCAGTTCCTTTAATTCCTAACATGCCCCAAAAGGGGGGGGTCCCAGTAAGGGACAAGGATGGATGCAGGGCAAGCTGTAAGCCACCCTGGCATTGCAAAGAGATAAGCTAAGTGCCATACAAAGTACAGTAAATTAAGAGCACAGTCATGGACAAACTCCATCATGACCCAAAAAGAAGTAACTGAATAAGAACCTTGCTGGGGCTAGGAAAGACAAACCTGGACTGAGGACTGTGGTCTGGAATAAATAGCGAGATGTCCCCAGGAAGAGCCAACCTTTAAGCTTAAGTTATCTTTTACTGTGTTCATACAAAATGACGAGAAATATTGTAGTACTGCCCTCCCCTTGTTCATCGATTTGCTTGAGCGGACCCAGTAACACCTCCGTTGTGACACTTGTTGTTACTGTGTTTGGCATATCAAATACGTTATGGGTAGCTTGCCAGGCTTTTCTGTGCGGGCAAGACTTTCAGTAGCTTGCCATGTTTTCCGAGAGGGGCGGAGGAATCAAACTCAGGTTGGCCGGCTTGGCCGTGTGCAAGACAAATGCCCTACCCGCTGTGCTATCGCTCTAGCCCATAAATACTGTAAGAAGTAAATTTACTATGATTGTTTAAATGGATTTCTAGCTGAGGAAAGGAGACAGGAATACTCCTAAATGGAATTCCGTCCTTGAGCGGATCTCATATAATCTGGAGTGTTGAACCCTCAGATGAGATCTTGTCCTTGAGTTAGTCTCCTAGAACTTCCCCTGAAGGAGTGGCTTTACATCTGTTTGCTGTTATGGCAATGTTCAACTCCATCAATGTGTACCTTGACTCTTCATGATTTCTATCTATGCTGTAAGGGGGGAGAGGGGGTGATGGGGAAAGGGAGAGAAATCATTATGCTGCAAGGGAAGAGGTCGAAGTGAGGGAAAAGGGAAGAGAATGGACGACGGTGGGGGGAAAGAAGAGAGATTATTATGCTGTAAGGGGAGTAATGAACTATGATGGGAAAATGAAGAGAAATTACTGTGCTGCAAAGGAAGAGGTCAAACTACGCTGGAGAGGAAGGAGGAATTACTATGCTTTAAGGGGAGAGAATGAACTATGTAGAGGAGGAGAGAGAGAAATGCCCCGTTTCTTCATTCCCCAGTTATTCATCCATCCTTTGCCATGGGACGGCTAGGGGAACAGCTCTTGGCCACTGACTGCAAGTCCTGCATGTCCATGCTTTTTTTGAAACTCAGAGAATTCTAGTTCACTGTACAATCACCAATACTTCAACCTGTCATAATTGTGGCCATCTGCACTGAAAGTTTATAGTCGTCATGGCAACAAATGAACCTCAAACAGACCCCCAGGTATTTGGGGAGGAGAGTGGAAAAAAAAAACCAGAAAAGGCAGTAAGTCTGAAACCTTAGTCTTTAAGATAAATACTTGGGAGTGATAGTACAGTGGGTAGGGCATTTGCCTTTCATGAAGCTGACCTGGGTGCAATCCCTGGCATCCCATATGGTTCACAGTACGCACACCGCCAGGAAGGAGTATTCTTGAGTGCTGAGTCAGGAGTAACCCCTGAGCATCACTGGATGTGCCCCTCCCCACAAAAAAAATACTTGCTTTAATTATTCTGCAATTAAATTGTTCTCTATAAAATTGTTCTTGGGGAGACAAAGGTTCCCCAGCCCTCCTCACATCTTTCTCTCCACCACTGCAAACAGTTCTAGTTACAAAACAGAACTAATAAACATGGTCTGCAAAGGGATGAGATGGCTGTATAGGAGATCCAAGAAGTAACAGCTAAAGGATAGGAAGAGCATGAACATACCCAACCAGAGAACAGGGAAGTGATGGAAAACATAGAGCTTAATGGGACTAACGGCCAAGGAGGGCTGGGCAGAGGGTCACTGTACGTTCCAACAGAAGCACACTCAGTGCTTTTTTCATGCTTCCTTTTAGCAGAAAAAGAACTTTATCAGCAGCAACATAAGTTCCCCAAGGTTTTTGTTTGTTTTTTTAAACCACACCCAGTGGTGTTCAGGCCTTAGTCCTAGCTCTGTACTATGGGATCACTTCTGGAGAGGCTTGGGGACTATATGTGGTGGTAGGGATCAAATCTGTGTAGGCTACGTGAAATGCAAGTAGATTGTCTACGGTACTATTTTTTTTCATACTACATTTTATTTTTTAAATGTTTTATTAGTGAATCACCATGAGGTACAGTTACAGATTTACAAACCTTTGTGCTTGCATTTCAGTCATACAATGATCGAGTATCCATCCCTCCACCAGGGCCCATTTTCCACCACCAATGGTCCCAGCATCCCTCCCACTATCCCCTCCCCATCCCCCCTACCCGACCCCGCCTCTGTGGCAGGGCATTCCCTTTTGCTCTCTCCTTTTGGGTATTGTGGTTTGCAACAGAGGTATTAAGTGGTCATCATGTTCAGTTTATAGTCTACTTTCAGCCCGCATCTCCCATCCCGAGCCCCCTTTATTTGGTGGTCCCTTCTCTATCTGAGCCGCCTTTCCCCCCCTAACATATAAGGCCGGCTTCTAAGCTGTGAAGTAATCCTCCTGGTCCTTATCTCTACCAGTCTTGGGTGTTATTAGTCTCCCATTCTGTTACTTTATATTCCACAAATGAGTACAACCTTTCTGTTCCTCTCTTTCTGACTCATGATACTCTCCATGTTGATCCACCTATACGCAAATTTCATAACTTCATCTTTTCGAACAGCTACATAGCATTCCATTGTGTAGATGTACTATTACCTTGACCCCTCACCAGGTTTAGATTCTAGAGAACAAAACAGCAAAATGAACAGCCAGATAAGTTCAGATGTTGTCTAAGTATTGCCACTGTCTAGATAAGCTTAGCATGCTCGATGTTCACAATACTGATTGTCAGGCACCTCCCAGCTTTCAACCAAAACAAGTACTCAGGGATCACTCCCAGTGGGGCTCAGGGGATCCTATGCAGTGCCAAAGATCAAAGTGGATCACACATGAAAAAGGTAGGTGGGGCCGGAGAGAGAGTACAGCAGATAGTGCATCTGCCCTGCAAACGGCCAACTTGGGTTCAATCCCTGGCATCCCATATGGTCCCCCAAGCACTGCCAGGAATAATTCCTGAGTGCAGAGCCAGGAGTAACCCCTGAGCATCGCTGGGTGTGACCCAAAAAGCAAAAAGCAAAAGAAAAAAGGAAGGTGTCTCAATTCCTGAACTAGCTAGCTCTTTGGCCTTTACTTTCTTCATTTTTCTAAATACTTCATTCTAATCCTTCCAACTGCAAACAGTGACCCTTGAAGGGCAGTACTGCTTTCAAAATGTGGGCACCTCTGACTTACTCTCCTACATGGGAATAAATTGGTCGGAAACATTCATTTACATCAGTTTATCGTATAAAGAAATCTTTTTGTTCGCAACTGCATTTGTAACAGCCAACAAAAGCATTCCTAAGGCAATAAATTCAAACTGATGCACTTAAGAAATAGTTTTTTGGGAAAAATGCTTAGTCTTGTTTTTTTTTTTTTTCTCTTGCTGGAGTTTTCACTCAGCTCTTATTACTGTGGAAATACTTTTTATTCTTTTGTATTTATAGTTATCCAACCTTATATTTAAGATTATTATTATGATGGATATGGAGAGGATCGTGCTGAGTGAAATAACTCAGAAACAGACATAGAATGATTACACTCATTTGTGGGATATGAAAAACATAATATGAGCCTAATACCCAAGGACAATAGAAACAAGGGCCAGGAGGATTGGTCCATGGTTGGAAGCCTGCGTCAAGTGCTGGGGGAGAAGGCTGGTGGGATAAAGAAGGGACCACTATGACACCGGTAGTTGGAAATGATCACTCTGGATAAGAACTGCGTGTTGAACGTAGGTAAAGGAACAAACATGATAACCTCTCAGTACCTGCACTGAAAACCATAATGCCCTAAAGGAGAGAGAGACAGAGAAAGAAGAAAAGTGCCAGCCATAGAGACAGGGTAGGTGGGTGGGAAGTGGAGGGAGGGAGACTGGGGACTCTGGTGGTAGGAAATGTACACTGGTTGGAACATTACATGACTAAAATCCGATCATGAACAGCTTTGTAACTATGTATCTCATGGCGATCCAAAACATAAAAAGAAAAAAGATTATTAAATGTCTTAAATATAGATTTCTCTTCTCACCCATAGACTCCAAATATTGTGCAGAAGATGAACAAGGTCCCTATCCAGCACTTCATGAGCACTGTCTTCCCAACCCCCCTCAGTCACCCAGCCAGGTAGGTGTATGTCTGTTGTGCCTCTGCTGTACTCCTCTAGGTTGGGGACACACAGACCAAAGTGAACACCAGTTTGAAGCTTACTAGCAAAATCTTAGCCTCTCTAAGCTTCAGCACTGTGATCTATAAGAAGACAGTTAAAATTTCAAACTGATATTTCTGATAGTAGATAACACATGCAGAACCCTTTGGGAGAAAGATGGCACAAATACTATTTCCTCATTGCTGTGCTACATAGATATGTTCATGATCTGCTCTAGTAATAAAAGTTGTAAAAGTCATAGATGTACAAGTGACAGTATCAGCCATGCATGCCAAAATAGTCTGATAAAAAATGTTTCTTGCTCTAGACAACTAGCGTGGGACATGATACCATTTTTAAGTTAGGTAAGCATACCTACCTCTTAGTCCATACAAGAAAATATATTGGAATTTACTGCTCAGAAAGTTATTAGTTATGGAGTCTGTTCTTCCAGGAATTCTTTTTCTCAGGAAATGACCATAATTAAGAAAAAAATCAACAAAGAAATACTTACAACTTTGTCTCATAATCTTTCCAGGCTTTGTCAAATGGCTTCTTAAGATCCTTACAGAGAAAATGAGATTGAAGGTGAACGTACTTTAGCTTAAAGACGAATAAATAATTCTGAAATAACATTTCAGTAAAATGCTTCCATTTCTAAGTATACTTGAGACGTTACACAAAACAAGTTCATAAACTTCACACCTTTCCCTCCACATGGGAAACCTGAGAGAGGCTCCAACACGATTCTGCTCCCTACTTAGTCACCATCAAGCTTCCTGAAAGTGTGTCATCTTGTTCCTCAGAGAATAATGGGATGTGAGTGACACATCTTTTCCAATGATGATTCTCTAAGAATGTTTTTTTTTTAATGCTAAAACGCTCAGATTTCAAATACAAGGACTGCTATGATCTTAAGATATCTTAAAATACTAATTCTTTCAAGTTAAAGAGAAAATAAAATTTCTGAATACTTACTCCTTTGACTCCCTTTAGGTCTCCTTTTAACAAGGAATCCAAGGTGAAAATCACATTGTGACTCAGACCTTGGAGCTGAAACAGAGAGGAGAGAAGAGGAGGTTAGAAAGACATCAATACAAGACAATGAAATCATCCACTGCTGACGAATGTTCTTCACACACCTGGCTTTATGGACTGGCTTTAGTAGCCATCATCTCGCCTAACCCACAAGGCATTTTGAGATGGTATATCTGCCTGCACTCAACAGTCTGAGAGCAGAAAGCCAGGATCTGAACCCAGGCTTACGGCTTCTGAGTGTTCAACTAAACCACTACATTATAAAGCATGTACATATAATGATGGGTCTCCATCTGCTAACCCTGAAAGAGCCTTGAATATGGCACTTTTAAAAAAAATCTCAGGGCTAGGACAAAGGAGACGTTACTGGGGCCTGCTCGAGGCAATCAACGAACAACAGGATGGTCGTGATTGTGGTCATCGTGACAGATATACATAAGCAAATTAATTTCTCAGATCATTTTTAGAACTTTCACTGTAATCATTACTGAAGTGGTACATCTTATGTGCTTCTACTACTTCTGTCAGAGCAAGAAACCACACAATTGGCATTTTACCACCTCCTTTTATATTCATCTATGTTATGTGTTACTATAATTACGTATTCACACTCTTCCCCACCAGGATGTAAGCTCCTTGAGGGCAGAAACTCAACTCCCAATCTCTCTCCCCTCCTCTAATGATGAAGTTGGTAATAACTCAAGTGGAAATAGTATCAGCACTATACATGATTCAAGAAGCACACTCTTTCCCATCTTATTAGGCAAGCAGCACATTAAAAGCTATTTTAGGAACGGTGTTTAGGTATGGTAGATATATATATTTTTTCCAAGCAAACTAGTTTGCTTTCTTTGTCCTAAAGGCCTATTCCCTGCCAATATGCACACCAATTTCATACTAAAACCAAGACAGGAGATGGCTAAAAGTCTACCCTTCTTAGTAAACTATACTTAGTTTTGAGAGGAAAAATAAAAACACCCATTAATTTCTTACAGTATGCTTAGGCATACCCCCCCCCCCGGCCCCATCACCCCAGCTCTTGGAGACCTGATGAGCAGTTTTCCTCCATGGGTATAAGCATACATGATCCTGCTCATTTGTTTGCTGACTTATCAGCCATTGCTTCTCTCCAGAACCTATGCTCCTTAAAAGGAAGACTTCGCTCTAGGTCACTGCAAAAGGCAGAAATGTGGGAGCAGCTGAGGTGCTCACACTGCAACATGCTATCTTTGGGTTTCCCCACTGGGCTTGTGCAGAACCCACACGCACTATCAACTGGAGAAACGAACATGCACACTATGAGGTTGTTGGCCACTGTGCAACAATCCTGACATTTTCTCCCCACTGCCCTCTGGGGCTCTCTTTCTCCTCAACAAAAGAGTTTTGCTGAAAAGTTCACGCAAATCTGCTGACTTGCTGCTCAGCATATTGAAAAATCCAATTAGAATAAGGGGCCGGCTCTCACCAATGAAGTCCAAGATTCCCTGGTACAAATGAGCTACCTCTTTAACTCCTTCAGGGCCTAAGAGAGCGGTCTTTTAACCAAAGTGTTATTCACCACTTTAAAGCTATTTAAAACTGGTGGTGCCCTGTCATCAGGCTTGTTTCTGGGATAAAACTCAATTCTCAGAAGGAGCCCAGAACCCCAGGGCTAGGGGTACTCTTGGTCCTGGGTGACTTTGGATGAAACTTTTAATCTTACCAGTACGCTTTACTGTTTAAAATGGGTTTCCCTGCACATGCTCAACTGGTAACAAAGGGGAGTGACTATTGAAGAAGGCTCATTTTGGAGCAGGTGGTAGGTTGCCTGCTTTTGCCGCTTTGTTAGCTAGTCTTGATAACACTACAGAGTTCTGTAACATATTCAAGGCAGTGAGGCGGATGGGTCAGAACACAAACCGAACCAAACCCAAAGCCGATAAACTGCTTATAGTACTGTCTTCTTACAGATATGGAGACATTTGAAAGACTACGGTAGGCTCTATTACATGAGCAAACAATTATTAGCAACTATTACTGACTTACTTAACTCCACTATATGGAGAGAAACAAGGATCTTCTGTTGGGAGCATTTATAAAATCCAACACAGATGAGAGATCTTATGTCGACCTCACCCGATGTTCAAGGATTTATACCAAATCACCCCTCACAGCTGCCTGAATGCCCAGTGCTTGTATGATTCAGTGATCTACACGCAGTCAGGTCTGGGTTTCACCATGCCCTTTCACCCTTTCAAGTCCTGGTCTCTATGCCTATGAAGTGAGAACAGTAAGTCGTCTCCATAAGCTGTTAAGTGGCGTCATGAGGGCACTGGGTACAGTACATGCAGAATGCCAGGCATGCCACAAGTTCTTAATAAAATGTATCTAGGTTGGTCTTCTGAGAATTCTTTCTACTTCTTAGTAGTTGTAATAAAAACAGAATTGTAACACTTCAGAAAATAAAGAGATGAAAAACCAAAACAAAACAGAACAAAACAAACCAGGGGCTGAGGCTGGAGGGATATGATAGTAGGTAGGGCATTTGCCTTGCTTGTAGCAGACCCGGGTTCGATTACTGGAACCCCATCCAGTCCCCCAACACCACCAGGAGTAATTCCTAAGTGCAGAGCCAGGAGTAACACCTGCGCAATGCTGGGTGTGACCAAAAAAGCAAAAAAAAAAAAAAGTCATAATAAATAAATAAAACAAAGCAGGGGCCTCCCCGGCATTGCTTGGGAAACCTAGAAGCACTGGGGTATTGGCGAGGCTGGGTAGGCCTGTTGGTTGGTGTGCAGGACCAACCACGGGGCTACTCGGGCCTGGTGGTGCTGGACGAGGGAAGGTTTGTGATGCTGAAGATCAAATTTAGGGCACTGACCATACAAGGTATTTTTTTTTTCAGCCCTGAAATAGAGCTTCTAATCTTTTATATCCTTTGAGTTATCATCTCAATCTTGAAACAGATATTTAGGGGCAGGGGGCAGGATAGATGGACCTATGCCCTTTTTTTGTTTGTTTTTGTTTTGGGGCCACACCTAGTGATGCTCAGTTTACTCCTGGCTCTGCACTCAGAAATTACTTCTGGTGGTGCTTGGGGAAACCATATGGGGTGCCGAATATTGAACCTGGTGGGCTCTGTGCAAGGCAAGCATCCTAGCAGTTGTACCACGTCTCCAATCCTAAGTGTCCTTTCTATTTCACACACTCTCTCCTTTGGTAAGCTTCATAGTTTTAATTTCCTTTCCTCATTCTGCAAAATGTAAACGGTACAATAAAATATTCTATTTTACTAATCTTGTACATGATCCTTGTATGAGATCTCCAAGCCTTCCTGGATCAGGACTGGGCCTCCTCCACCCAGATCCCCCATCTTCCAGTAGCTAGACAGTTATACCCACCAACTGCTCCCGGTGCCATGTTATCCCATCAACAGCCAAGACCCAGGGACTATAAAACCCAGCTCCCGGAAGAGAACAGCACAGAGTCTCCTGCCTCCGCACCTGGCTGTCCTCACCAGGGCCCCTTGGAGGGGGGCGGGCTGAGTTTCCCCTCCCTGTCCCGAGCAGAGTCCCGGAAGCTGAAGACCTCCGAAACTAACCACAGCCATGCTTAAGACCACTCTCCATATGTTCGGACGAGCCTCACGCATGAAGGAAGCGGCAGAGGAACCAAGATGTGCGGGACCCTGGGCTGAGACCTCCAAGCCTTCTCAGATTGGGACTGGGCCTCCTCCACCCAGATCCCCCATCTTCCAGTAGCTAAGCATTACACCCACCAACTGCCTCCGGCGCCGTGTTATCCCATCAACGGCCAAGACCAAGGGACTATAAAAACCCAGTTCCCAGAAGCACGCAGTCAGATTTGTGGCCGCACGACCACTTATTGTCTAGTTCTCACTCTTGGAGAACCTGACAGGCTACTGAGTATATCCTGCCTGCACGGCAGAGTCTGACAAGCTCCCCGTGGTGTATTCGATATGCCAAAGCCTAGTAACAATGGTGGATTTCATTCCTCTGACCCTGAAGGAGCCTCCAATGTGGCACCTGCTAAAATCTCAGGGCTAGGACGAATGGAGACATTACTGGTGCCTGCTCGAGGAAATCGATGAACAGGATGACAGTGATACAGTGATATAGTATATGATCCTAATCTAGGTGGGATGAGGAGAGGAATTAGGTTATAAAGGTAGTCCATATGTATTTAACCCTTTCTCTAAAGTGACCATTCATGAAAATTTTGTCTAAAGGATCTTGAAGTTAAGAGAGGTCAAACAGTGGATAGAAGAGGTGGCCAGGCTACCAATGAAGGTTTTTACAGATCCCAAAGGTCATGCACCATTTCTGTGTCATGTGAGAGTGATCTTTGAAAGAATTATGAGATCAGAATCTAGAGAGTTGGTTCAAGGCATGGAGCAAGCTCTTGACTTGGCTTGACTTCCCAGCACTGCTAGCAGTGACCCCACCCACAAAACAGTAAAATAATTAAGTATTATCAGATCAAATTGCTCTCTTGAATTAAAACAACAACAGCTTTCCAAGACCCTAGATTCAAATCCAACTTTCTAATTTTTAAATTTTTTTTTCAGAAAAAACTTTATGAAAGCAAAGGGAAAGGCAGAGAAGCTCCCGAAGTATGGGAGGGATCTCCTAAAAGATTCCTAAGTGATCTTGTCATTTAAATCTGGCCCTGACAACTGCCTTAAGCCCCTCTAACCATTTCTACCACCTTTGCCCACTATTCTTTTTGTTTGTTTGTTTTTGCTTTTGGGTCATACAGAGGGGGTTACACCTGGCTCTGAGCTCAGGAATTACTCCTGGTGGTGCTCGGGGACCATATGGGATGCTGAGAATCAAACCTGGGTTGGCCAACGCCCTACTCAGTGTGCTATTGCTCCAGCCCCACCCACTATTCTTAACCAGGCAAATCTTTTCAAGTTTCTTAAACAGTGAGCTGTCTCCTCATTTAGTATAGGTTTTACTGGTTTGTCTGGGACACTATTATGTTTTCTATGGGCAAAAGTCTCCACACCAATT